TTCGATTAACAAAATCAGATCTATTTTAGTATAGTATGCAATTATTTCTATGATTGTTATGAAAATATCTAGGTCATTAGAAACTATAAAATTTCGTTTTCCGCAAATTAACACATTGTCTATGTTGAAAAAAGAATTACGTTGATCATTTTAACCTTATAATTGACTGTAAAACTAAAAAACATTTTTTATTATATGCGGCAACAACTCAAAGTAAGTGTCTTCTTTCTGTTATTATATTATAAGTTTCTTTAATGATAGGAATCTTACAAAATAATCCGTCTTCATATAAAAAAGCACGTCTCTTATAAATAAATATGCTACGTCATATTTTTTTTTTCATCTTAATCAACTATAAAATTTGCTCAATTTCAAATCCGTAATTTAGACAACGACAAAAAAAAAGAAACAAGAAAAATATTAATATTAATTCATTTATCAAAATAATAATTACTTTATTGTTTTTTTTTGTTTATTTAATAAAATCAAATATAGATATTTATCTCAAAAAAACAATTAAAATATTTTTTTTTTAAACAATCACAATCCTTTAGGTTATATTTTGATTAACAAAAAAAAAAGAACATAATTTTCTCAAGGTCTTGTTTGTTTTTCTTTTGTTAATAATTATTTTACATATATATTGTATTTTTCTTGTCCTTCTGTATCTATGCATATACAAACATAATATCCAACTGTGCTTATCAAATATATCTATAGATAAATGAAAATTTTTTATACATGATGTTTTTGGAGAATGTTCTTTTCTTTGTTATTTTTCTTGTCAGGACAATTTATAGTTTAAATATAATGAACTCTTTTTTGTTTTTTCAACCAGAAATAATGTTTACTTATTTTTTTCCAAATATTCACAATTTTTCAGCTAATTGATTGTTGGTAATAGTTGTCGTTAGTCTTCTTTTACTCTTCTTCTCTCTCTCTCTTTCTCTTTTTCTTTTCCATATGCGTAGGAGTTTTTTTTTTATTGTTACTTACTGTCTCAATGTCCAAAAAAAGGACTAACAAAAGGAAAAAAAAAGAATATAAGGAAAAACAACCTGACAAGAATATTTTCTATGAATGTTATACTTCTTTTGTTTGATTATCAAATTAATCAAGAAAAAAGAAATCGTTGTCGGTGTCAAAATATATAATGTATCAAGTTGGATCATTAAATTTCCGTTTGTCTCATCATCATTATTATCTTTAACGTTCATTAATGGAAAATAATTTAAAATGTCATAGGTAAAAAAAACAATATTTCTATTAGAAATAAATAACTTTATATAGTTAACTTCTTTTCTTTTGAATGTCTATATATAAATATATGTATGAGAAAAGAAAGATCAAACAACATATCATATTATATGTATGGACTTTGTCATTATACTATTACGTTTTTATCATGCAAAAATTTATTCTCTAATCAACAGAAACATGAATATATATGAAAAATCCGTTGAAATTGAATTGATAAAATGTATCAATATATATTTATTTAATTTCTATTCAAGATAAGATATATTGTAGTGAAGAAGAAAACAAAAAATGAGATCATACATTTTGTCGAATGGAGATATATTCTAGGTCGCTGTGAACGTAGGAGGTGTATTCATTTCCTAATGCATGTTCCGTTTCTACCCATATACACGCAGTTGGTCAGGATTGAGTAACAGATCTGAACCGGATATAAAAAACCAGCTATTCAACACCATAGGATAATTTTAGTAGGCGGGATCAGGTGTGTTCTTATCTTTCCTCTTTCTTTTTTTTTTTTCAATCAAGAAGAATTTAAATACTTTAGAATTATTATAAAATATTATGCAAAGATAAACATGTTTTTTTTAATGTTTATCTACACACTCCGACTCGATGTTGTCAGGAAAAGAAGAAATTTGCTTCAATCAGGAAACTTAATTGACAATTGCCGATTTCTTATATATATATTTAGATAATACACAAAAACAAATATATATATATGGTGAATACACATTAAATAGTTGTTAATTTATGAAAAGTTTTTATTCGTTCCGAAACGATCATTAGATAGTAAAACCTTTTTTTTTGTATACGTGCGGAAGTGCGTGCTTTCATTCGTTTATTCTCATTTGTTTATTTATTGAGTGAATACAAGAGGAAAAGAGAAAAAACAAGTAAAAAGAACGAAGATGAGCGTGTCTCACCCATCAATTGATTCTATTTATATATATTCAAACTTATACTTGTTAAAATAGATCTAGAAAATCTAATTAATACATTTTTACATGATAAATGTTCTCTAAATATATATAGATATATATATATTTTGCTTCTTTTTGTTTTTTTAATGAAATTTAGATATTTAAGTAAGGTTCTCTGGTTATTGAGGCAGTGACGCATAGTCTCGTGTGAGGTATTGAGCAGAGTAGAGTAGTTCCTCTTCCTGTAAACTAGTCGTCGAAACCAGAAAGAAAGAAACTTGTTACGCTCTTTTACTTTAACACTTCTTTTTCTCTTACGTTTCCCCTCTCTCGCTTTCTTCTGTTCACTCGTGTTTTTAAATAATCCGCTTACATTTCTATGTTCAAATTATTTAAAATTTTTTTCATAGAATTTTTATTGAAATTTGATAAGATGATAGATATAAAAATAACAAACAATCGTTGATATATACAAGGATATATTCAAAAAAAAAATACTATCATCGGTGTATGAATGAGTTTTCATGTCATAGATCTATATGTGAGGGTTAGAAAAAAAGAAAGAAAGACAAGAAATCTTACAAAATAATTAATAGTGGTATGTTTTCTTTTTTTTTTTCATTATCATTTTCTTTCATTAAGATATGTAACTGTTCAAAGATCTTAAATTTTTTTTTTTGTATGTTTTAGTAACAAAAAAAAAAAATTATGTTTTTTTTTTGTTTAACACGAAAGAAGAAAAACTTTCTTTTTTTATTTTGTTTTTCTAAAAGAAGAATAGTCGATCAATAAATATTATTAATAGAAGATGGAGTAGAAGATGCATCAGCAGCAGAAAACAATCATCATCATCATCATCATCATCATCACTTGAGTAATCATTTGCTGTTATATGCAATCGATCGTATTATGACTATAGGGTATAGATATATACACGCAAAGAAAATATTTGCACGCACGACTTGATTATAGCAATGAAGACCCGGATGAGATTTTTGTTTGTATTTATTCCAATCGACAAGTCACGAGGTTGACCTTGACTCTCTATGCTATCGATACCACATGTGAGACATGAGAAAGAAAAGAGTTTGACAGCAAATGTTGATAGATCATTACTGGTCTTGATTGTCGTTCGTATCGTGATCAATAAAGAAAAAAAAACCAGAAACGATAGATGGAATCGAAGCAATTGTATAATAACGATTATTGACACAGTTTATTTTCCGTCACATACACATATACACACATTATTGAAGACGTTAGTCATTTCCGAGATATTTACATTTAATCTTGCTTAAACGGAAATATGATCCTTTTTTTTTTATATTGAGTAACGATAAGAGAAAAAAAAGAAAGCGAAAACAACTTGACTTGAACTTTGACAACTAAACACATACAAAGAAAAAAGAATAACTAGCACAGTTGATCAGGTATTTATTAGATTTTTATCGTTTTTTGATATCAAATCTCTATATATATTAAAATTTCCTAATATAAATACATACATATATATATATATGTATCTTATATTATATCAAAAGTGATACAAGAAGAAGAAGAAGACAACAAGAGGCCACAAACAATGTACTCATAGCTGTTTTTGTTATTATACCATTGAATGCGATAGAGTGCAACAATTGCATTAAGTTTCTCTTCTATTATTCCTATCGATTCGACAAGTTCACTACCACCATCATCCTATGCATAAAGATATTTACTATAGAAAATAATATAATTTGAGACATATATGTATATATATATATGTCTATAAATGATGATGAAATATTTTGTAAGTCTACATAGTTAGCAGAAAAGATTGCCTTGAGACAAAGAGCATGCATAAAAATAAAAAAAATAAGAAAAGAAAAGAAAAGAAGTGGCAACTAGCAAACGGCACTTGATTATCTATAGCTTATTGCTTAAAATGAAGCTAGGCGTGTTCAATCATCTTTTCCTTCTTGTTCTTCTTTTTCTGCTTCATCTTGTTTCGTAGATTATTGGAATATTGAAACGCTTCTCTGGTTCTTCTTTATTCTCTTCTAGTAGAACTCGATCGACAAATACCACACCGCATATATTGTATGAGTCTTTCTCTCTTGCTCTCTCTCTCTCTATTGCTCTTATACTATTCTTTTCTCTCTATCTTCGTTATGCGCTCGATTAGAGAATAGGAAGGAACCCTTTTCTTAGAAGAACATACAGACTCAATTACGATCTCCTTTAGAATATATACGAATGTACTTATATATTATAAAAACGAATAATTCATTGAATATCTATGTCTCTGATTTAAATAGGTATGAATTTAGTTTGATTTTATTTATTTGTTTATTTGTTAGTTAAACTCAATTATTATGTTTATTTTTATCGTACGACAAAAAAAGGAAAACTAATGATTGACACTATACAGCAATAATCCACTTGAGGCAATTTTTTGCATGTGTTTTCCTGATGATTGTATTGATAGCTCAACTCATACTGTGATCAAAGGCAGTATGGCATTCGATTTTGCTTGATAGTATGTTGTTGTTATTATCGATAAAGATCTATATATCTATATCAACAGTGTTAACCTTTTCTATTTAGAAGATATTTGATTATTAACCATCTTACTTTTAGTTATGTGTAATTAAAAAAACAAAATTGATAAATATATTTAAATTTCATTTCATTTTAGATATATGTATAGTTAAATCAAAAAAATGATTAAAAAACAAAAACAATTAAGTTAATAAACGCTATGACGACGAATGCCGTCAAATATTTAATAATATTTTCTTATTATTATTATGATCAATTTAATTTGAGAGAAAAAATCCAATGTCCATTTCCATCAATTCAACAATACGACAAATTTTTCTTAATTTAACTAGTACAACAATTCGTACAACAATTCAATCAAATATAAATTATACTATTAATAATATTTCATCATTTAATATTCAACAAAATATTGAATTAAGTCATTTAGCATTAGGTATTTTTTTAACTTTTTTTTGTTTTATTACCGTTTTTGGTAATGGTCTTGTTATATATGCTGTTGTTCAAGAACGTTATTTAAAATCAGGTATATTATTGTTTATAATTAATGTATAACTATACTCTATTTAATAAGCTAATAAAACGTTTTTATTTTTTTATTTTTATTTTTCACCTACATAATCGAATAGATGAATAAATCAAGCATTCAATGTAATTTCTAGATAAATACTGATTATCAATCTAAATGTTTCTATTTTTAATAATTTTGATCAATAATAATCTCATGGGATATTTATTACTCGTCATAGTCTAGTTATCAAAAATAACGAACAACTGAGTGCTTGTTCTTCTTCTTTTTCTTTGAATTTCATTGAAATATAATGACGTAACTAAAGATCTTACTACTAATTATCTTGGTCTTATGAACGGAAAAAAGCTAAAATTAATAATTATTATTGTTGACATCCTATTTCAAGGATTTCTTTAAAAAAAAGAATCATAGAACATTACCTTTGATAAAAGTACTATTTAAATAATTCATCCGTATTAATCTTACAATAGGAAGTATAAATCATTAATGATAAATTTAAATCTAAATTCAAATTTTTATTCATTTTATTTTCATATTCAATTATTATAGATTTACATTTTCTTCTTCTTTTTAGCTACATATTATTATATGGCATCATTAGCATGTGCCGATTTATTTGTCGGTTTAATTGTTATGCCATTTGCTATTGTACAAGTTATATATGGTGACTATTGGCCATTTGGCAAGACATGTTGTGATCTTTGGCATTCAATAGATGTATGTGCAAGTACAGCATCTATACTTGATTTATGTGTTATTGCATTGGATCGTTATTCAGCAATAACAAATCCAATATCATATCATCAAACATTTTTTGTTAAACGATGGCCTTATTTACTTGTTGCTGTTTGGTTATGTTCAGGTAAATATAAAATCAAATTGTTGTCTATTAATTATATTTATTTTTTATTATTGTAGGTCTAATTTCATTTCCTGCTATAGCTTATTGGCGTCTTGTTGTACGACAATATGAAGTATATCGTTGTCTTTTTCCCGATGATATATATTATATTGTATTTTCATCGTTAATATCATTTTATATACCTTTATTTGTCATGATTTTTGTTTATATAAGAATATATCGTGCTGCAATAAAACAATTACATGCATTTAAAACAGGTATTAAATTAACATCACCAACAAAAAAAAAGAAAAAAAAAGGTTTAAAAAATGATAATACAACAATAGAACCACCAGCAGATATATGTTTACGTATACATCGTGGTAAATATCATGGTATACCATCATCAACACGTGATTCATTATCAACAATAATTCATACTGATCCAATACGTTCATCAAATTTAGATGAACATTTAAATTTACCAACAAATAAATTATCAAATCAAATAAAAAAATCTATAAGTGGTGCATTTTTAAATGATTATCAAAATTCATCATTATCACGTTTTTCAATGCCAACATTATTAGCACCATCAACAACACCAACAACAATATCTAATGATAATCATCAATTAAAAATAAATAATTTAAATACTAAAAAAGTACAATCACAAGAAACAATATCAACATCATATGATATATCACGTACACCAAAATCAAATATAACATCAAATATAGGTACATCATTTGGTAAACGTTTAACAAAATTTTCTAAAGAACAAAAAGCAACAATAACATTAGCTTATGTTATGGGAATATTTGTTATATGTTGGTTACCATTTTTTGTTTATAATCCATTAACTGCATTGGCAAAATTATTTATAAAACGTAAAATACAATTAACATCAATAGAAAAATTTTTAACTGGAAATGAACTTGTTTTTCAAATGTTTACATGGTTAGGTTATGTCAATTCAAGGTAAATAAATTAAAAAAAAAAAAAACAATGAACTATTAGATATTTTTTTCTTTTTCTCTTTTGCTTCTTGTGTTCTTCGTCTACTATTACTTCTTCTTTTCTTTTAGTGTCAATCCGATTATATATGCTTATTCATCACGTGAATTTCGTCGAGCATTTATTAAATATTTATGTCGATGTTTTCCAATACGTATACGAAATTTATTAATGTCTTATCATAATCTACATTTATTACGTTATCGTCGTACACGAGATAAATATATATCAAAAGAAACAATTGAATCATGTTCTGATCATAATCATAATATTAATTATATTAATTCAAATAAACAACAAATAATACCATCATTATCATCAACAATGACAATATCAAATATACAAAATAAAAATCAACAACAATATATGAATTTAAAAAATATTCAACCAAAAATAAATAAAACAAAATATTCACGTATTTGGTTTTTAACAAATTGTTGTAGAACAAATACAATACAACAAGAACATCATCATCATCATAAACGTTCATCATCTGCTACATCATCGAAAACTTCAACACCAAATAATATACTTGTTGATTATTGTACTTATCACGATGTTGCCGTTTCTCGGGTGACATGTGTCTGATAAAATTTTTTTTTTTCTCTTTTTTCTTCTTGTGTTTTGTTTTTTTTTTCATTTAATGTATTGTAGAAAAATTTCGCAATGCCCGAGTGCCATTTGTTTCTTATACATATAAATACAAATTATTCTTTACCCCTTTGTATGTAAAAGCTAATTGATAATCTGTGACACACAAGAAAAAAAACCAAAAAAAACAGATGCGATATATATCTGTGCATTGAAACTTATTTTTTATTTCTTTCAAAACGACATAAGAACAAAATCAAAAAAGGCCAAAACGAAAAAAAAAAAAATTAATTCTAACATATAAAACAGAAAAAAAAAGATATTTGTTAATAACGGATATTGAAGTATTAAGAAGTTAGATCTTTTTCTTCTCATTTTTTTTCCATCATGTTGATTTCATTTGAATAATAGGAACAATAACTAAATCGTTTATGATTGACTGCATCATTTTTTAGCTTATACAGACACGTATTAAGGAAATACGTCACATCAAATTTTGTTCGCTTCGTTGCGCACGTTTCTTAATATGTAAAAAAAGAAAGAAAAAAAAGTAAATAATCAATAAATAATATTAGAAAAAAAAAAAAAGAATTTTCTTTTTACTTGAAAAATAAGTTCAAGTTCAGATTGTCGACATTGTGTTTGTATTAATGATTTTGTATATGGACGAGATTTTATTTGATTAATATCATTTGTTGATTTAGTTCGTTTTCCAAGCATTGTATCTAATTCATTTGGAAGCATAATAATTGTTTCAAATTCTTTTGTATTTTTTGTTTCATAAGATTTTTTTAAATTATCTAATTGTATATAAGATACTGTATCATTAGTTAATGTTTCACTATTTGTTATATTTAATGTTGATCCAATTAATCGACGACCTGATCGTCGACCATTTGAACCAGGTTCAATTTCAAGTTGTTGTTTTGCACGTGTAAATAATGGATTTTCACGTAACTAAATGAATTTTGTTTTTTTTTGACTTTATTGATTATTTCCAAAAGAACTTACTTCACGTAAAATTCGTGTATCAGATAAATTACTTGATATTGTTGATGTAGCAGTACTACAAGGTATAGTTGAATTATTCGCTTCACGTGCTAATGTCATAATTGATGTTCGTTGAGAATTTAATGAACGATTTATAACTGGTACTATTGGACGAAAACCATCAGCAGGTAATCTGATATAGAGAATGAAATGAGAAAGAAAATAATTTATTTATTTTTAATTAAATACAATAAAATATATAGAAATAAGATTTAATATTATTTATGATTAATATGATAGATTTATTTATAATCGAATGCATGTTTTATAAATAGTATAAACAATATGAATATATCTTGGGAGTTTTCAATGAAAAATGATTAACACTCATTGTTAAAATATAAAAAATGGATTAGATGTTGGCTTATCTTATGATTATTTTATATTGTCTATCAAGGAAATTATATTAGTTTCTTTAAGTATAAACACGTGATAGGTAACGAGTTTTTTCTTTTTTTTTTTGCTAATATTTAGTATTATTGAGTATGTTCGATGACATTAAAAAGATCTTATTAACCTTGATTGATTCATCTACATTGAGTGTATAGACAGCTATTTATTATTTAAAGTTAAAAACAAAACAATATACTAGAGAAAAATCAATGATTATAAATCGTACTTCAGGAATCTTGTTCTTTTTTTTTGTTCTAATTATATCTATATATGAATGACAAATATTCTTAGTGACACTTGGAAATAGATGATTTTATATTACATTGTTTTTCTTTTTTTTTTTGTTTTATGGCATATCGAACTACACAACATTTTTAATGAACAAAACAGAAACACATAATCTATTTTTCAGAATTCATTAAAAAAATCTCAATATTCATTTGAATATTAAATAGGATAGATCATGACTTTCTTCGGATGAGATAAAACATTTCATCTACTATCGAACTATTAATACTATAGTTTAGATTCATCAAATATATCACAACAAAAAAAAAAAGAAAAGCCATCATAGTCTTCAAAACATAATAATGACATTCATTTTGCTAGAATGTTAATCCATATTTTCAATAGAAAATCAACCAATTCAATATTGATATGTAATTGAACATGATATTAATGAAATTTTCAAGCGAAGAAACTATTCTACTTACGGTGGTGGTGGTGGTGGAGGTACTGAAGATAAACATATTGAATTGATCACTGGTATATCTTTTGGATCATCATAAACATTCGATTGAATATTATTATTATTATTATTTCCAGACATATATTCTTGTGATGAAACGTAACTTTGATGACTATTATTATCAGAATTATTAAAATTGTTTGCGCATAATTCTTGTTGTTGCTTACGGAAACGTGTTGATAAATGTTCATTTAGTTGATTAATAACACACACGTTCATTTGTTTGCTTGGTAAAGTCATGTCTGTTAATTTTTCATTTGTTGATGTTGAGGATGTTGATGAACGTAATCCAAAATGTGTATGCATTGGTTGTATTATAATAGAATGACTATGCATTGTACTTGTTGGTATACTTATTAATGAAGCTTGTTTTTTATAATCATTATAAAGTTTTGATGATGATGAACCATTTTCATCATCATGATCAATATCAATTGATGTACTTGGTGATGATGATGATAAACAATGTTGAATTTGTTCATCTATTAATGATGAATTTTTACATAATATTGTTAAATTTGTTTCATGATTAGTTAATTGTGTTATAGAATCATCAGGTGAATATGTATATGATAATGATTGAAAATTTTTATTTAATATTAAATCTTTTGATAAATTATGAGAAGATGTTTTAAATAATTCTAAAAAACAAAAAAAAAAATATAATTTTAAATTTATTGAAGATGATTTTGTTTTTGATTTACCTGATTGTTTTAAATCATCATCATCTTCTTCTTCTTTCTCTTCATCTTTAAGTATAAGTTTATGATCAAATGATAATTTATCAGCAATAGTACGACAATGAAATTTTATTTTCTTTTGTTCAATATTTAAATCAGGTAATGGTGGTGGTAAAGGTGGTATAGATATTTGTTCATTACTATTTATTGTTAATGTTTGTGGAATAATATATGATGATAAAATTTCATCATTAGAATTTAATATTGATTTATCATCTAATTCATATTTATTAATTGATTTTGAATCATCATAATCAATAATAGGTTCTTCATTAATATCATTTTCATTTTTTATTATTTGTATAATAATATCTTCATTTTGTTCATCATAATCAGGTGTTGGTACATGAATAGAAATATTATCTTTATTAAAATTATCATAAGAATTTTCATTCGATTGATCATTCCAACATGATGTACAAATATTTAATGAATGTGACCGTGTCATAATAGAATTTGTTGTTGTTATTGATTTTTTATGATGACCAAAAATAAAATTTCGATCAAGTGAATTCATTAATTCCGTACTCATAGCTGCTTGCATACGTTGTGCAAGAATATCATCATATTTTATTGTATGATTATAATGATGATTTTTTATATTATGAGATTTTTTTTTATGTGAATTAAAACAATGAATTTTTTCATTTATACATTTTAATGAATGATGATGATGAGAATTTTTAGTTGATATATAATTTGATTGTGATAATGGTAGAACAGTTTGTTTTTCTCGATTTATTGAATTTTTTCGTAATGAAAAATTTTTTTTTGCAAATGAACCAAATATATTACCATAACGTTTTGGTATACGTCGACGAATATGTTGTTGATGATTAGGATTAGGATTATGATGTGAAAATTTTTTAGCTAATGGTTCACAATCATCTTCATCATTCCTGTAAATAATAGAAATTTATTTTTATTTAAAAGATTAATACAAAAATATTTTTGTTATTTTAATTTGATTTTGTCAATCGAAAAGACTTTATTTGTTGTCTTTATCGATTTAATTGACTACATATGACCCTGAAAATTGGTTTATATGTTATAATTTTAGTAAATATTATTATGATAAATAATTTCCGTAGTACTTAAGCTATTTTACAAGTCTAATCTGAATTTATTATTTGCATATGTCATTTTTGACGTCAATAGTACTTGTAATAATATGCAATTAATCAAATATTTTTCGAAGAATTTATATAAACATTAAATAGAACGAAAAAAATATATAGATACTTTTATTGAACATAAAAATTCTTTTGTATTTTTTGTTTTTTCGATCTATATAACATATTTCAAAAATGACTTTTACAAAGTTTTTTTCTAGTATTTTTTTGTTTCTTTGATAAAAAAAAATATTCTTTTACATACATTTTCATAGTCAAATAAAAGATAATATAAACAAAACAGAAAAAATAATACATTTTACTAAACATATTTAATAATCGATTTTTTTTCTTATATATAAGTTATCACATTATAATCGGACACATTTTTTGTTTTTTTTTTACTGAACACTAACTTTGACACTATACATCTAATAAATTTGATAACTTACAAACACGAAATAATTTCGTCTCTAGATGATGCTTAGAAACATAAACTTATCCTAAGAATTATGTTAAAAATCAATAATCAAACCTCTTTATAAAATAATGAGAAACATTTCTATAATAGATTTGATATAAAATCGATCATCATTATGATTAGAACAAACGACATATTCTCTTATGAATGATATGTATACAATGAATACATTCTTTTTTTTTTCTTATGAAACTTTTCATCGAAACAATGATACCTTATAACAACTGTTATCTAATACTAATACTCATCGTTCTTTCATAGTTAAAATAAAACATGATACAAAAAAACAAAATGCTTTATAAAAAATAATAATGTTAAAATAACAAAAAACATTAGTTATTTGATCATAAGAAAAAACAAAAAGCAGTAAATTTACTATGATTCTTACCTTGTTGTAAAAATATCTGATTTTTCTCTACGTAAACAAAAATCATGACTTATTTTAGTTTTTTGTTGTTGAAAACATGAATTTAATGAATCAATACTTATACAACGTGAAATAAACCACATATTAATAATAAAAGAATATTTATTTTGTTTGTTGCTATTATTTAATTGATTAGATTCAATTTCTTTAAATATAACAATTATAATAAATAATGTTGAATCATACAGAATAAACATGTTCAAAGACGAGACATATAATAATGATAACACGTCTGTCTCACCCTTTTCTTTTTGTCTTAACCTTGACACACTAGTAATAATCGTTTATTTTCACACATATAAACATACAGGAAAAAAAAAAGAAGACATAAAATAGTTGTGTGATATAATTAATCAGCAATCGAATGACTGTTTGTACGATTTTTTTTTTTTTTTGTTGTTGTTGAACGTGCTTAAAAAACGATTGTTTGTTTGATCGTACGAATATAATCTTAATCCTTCTTTTCGATCTATAATCTTACTTTTCGATCTCTATCTTTTTTTTTTTTTTTTGTCTTTTCGAATATAATGTCATTTGTTCTTCTCGTAAGTAATTACATGAACGGTAAATATATATATATATTAGTTTACTCAAATACAAATACTCTAGAAATGTAACGAAAAAGATAAAACATACCATCGATAAGACATTAATGTCGGAACAAATGGTGGGAGTGTTATAGGTAATCGTGCTTAATAAAAATGAAAAGTTATAAAATTAAAATAAATCAAACAAAATAATTACGAAAATGCATTGTAGATTGATAAGAATAAGTTATGTTAATTGATGAAGATTTTTTACGTTGAAATAAATATAAAAATCGACGATAATGTTTTAAAGTTTTTAATTTTGAATTAATTATTAGCATGAGAAATTCAATTAAAATCTATACAAACAAAATATCAAAATTTTATATTTATTGTAATATTATAAATTTGAGACTGTAATAAGAATTCAACTTCTAAAAATCTTTATCATTTCTATCAATCAAGAATGAAGCTATGTTGATTTGAACTTTTGTTTTTTTGAATACCAGATTGATGCTATTCAGTAGAATCCATTGGGTCCGAGTCTGAAAATTTTTGCATCCGGTTAGATCTATTTGTTTGAGCAAATATGTAGGACATGTTACTTATTGAATACAAAGAACCGGAAAAAAACGTAACTGACTTATTCCTATTAGAAAAATTTATTAAAAGTATTAACGGTACGGTTCGACTTGATCCGGATCTGACAAAATCTATTGTTTAGTACCCAAATGGCATTAATCAATCCTATCTTTGCTATCTATTTTCTGTTTGATTAACCTGAAATAAAAAAAAAAGATCATTATTTCCAAGTAATTATTCTGAAAACAAAATCATCATTTCAACAGTAAATTTGTTTCCTGTATGCAAATGATATTCTATTTCCTACTAAATTGTCCTCATTAACTGCTTCAATTTTAATACTATTCAAAAAAAAAAAAAACAAAAAGTATTTATCAAACATTCAATTATTGAAGAAGTTTTTCGCAGTTTAATTTTTGATAATTATAGAACAAAAAACAAAAGTCAAAAAATTCTTAGATATTACATATATCACTGTCTAGAATTTGATGAAAATAATATTTAGTACAAAATGCTCGTGTTAATTATTAATAAGTTATAACAAATAAAAGTAAATATGGTTATAGTTTAAATTATTGAAGTATATTCCGCTATGCAAAAAAAAACGAAGATTTCATATAAAACTCTTCTACTCGTAGTGCTTAACAAGTTTAATTTAATATAAAACTCTGTAAAAAATTTATAGAAATATCTTCCGAATTTTATTCTTGTCAAATTCACTACGGATATATAGATTTCATTGCTCTATTTTTTTTTACTATTTATTACGATAATTTTAAACAAAATTATTATAGGACAAGAATAGAATTCAAAATAAATCAAAGACGAAAAATAAGTTTATAATTTTTTTATAGCATTATTTGAAAATTCTATATAATATTACATTTTTCATTTCCTTTTCTAATAAATCAATTAGACATCATATGTCTAAAAATTAAAATTTTTGAAATAAATACTTTTCATCAATATTAAAACTTACTTATGCAATGAAAAACAAAACCAAATTTGTTAACAAACTTGAACTATTATTCAATAAAATTCTCAACTATCACACTAGACGGATATATATATTATTTTACATATTCAGTATCTATTCTTTTATCTTATGTAATATTTTAAGAACGAATAATGATTATATTACTTTTTCTCTTTATTCAATGCCATAAATTATTATGTACATATTCTCATATTTAGTTCTTTAACGAAACATAAGAAGTGAAATTAATAATTGTGTTTTATAAGACATAATTCATGATATTATATTATCTTTTTATTATTATAAACAAGACAAAAAAAAAGAAAGAAAGATTTCACCAATCTGACTTAATGTCATAAAAGAAATAACTCCATTGTTGTTGAGAACAATCATTAATAGCTAATATTCTCGTTTGATTTAATAAATCATTACATAAAGATGAATTTATTTTTGTTGTACACATATTTGTTATAGACCAAAAATTTTTTATTATTTTTAAGTATTGAATATTTAATAATTGATCTTCATTAGATAATAAAACAAGAAAATTTAATGAAGCTAAATAATTTTCATGATTTTCTTTAATAATTAACATTTTCCATATACCAATCATATTTGGTGAAGATACCACCGGAAAAAATATATCAATAATAAGAGGTTCTAAAGATGGATGAAGTTTTACTCGTTGAAGAATAGCACCTATAACAAAATATAAAAT